GCGTCCTCCCGAATGCTAAGCAATGGTCTAGACCTCTAGGCCATGCCGCTCGGTCCTCTCTCACTATAACCTAAACCCAAACAGTAATCTGGTTTAATAACCTTAAATTTCGTCAGCGGACGTTTTTGGCCACAGTCAATGTCAAATCCTATTTATGATTCTACGTCAACTGAATCACTGAATATTGGCATTTAAACAAGCTCAGTTCTCCAATTTTCACGATTTTCACAATAATCCCTTAGGAAACTAAAATATTATAAAAATCACATACTACGATTACATTTCGTACATCCACGTGTAAAACCGTTACTCATATCGTTCATTGTATAAGACAAAAATAATCACATTTTTGCTTATTAATTATTTCCTAAATTGTAATCGCTGTTTTATGACTTTTTAATGAGTACAGGTACTTATCATGACCTGGTAGGTAAGACAATGAGTTAAAATTTGGGCACGTGTATTCTGAAATGTTGCTCGATAACATAATATTTACCCTAATTTGTAAACAAAATAAACAAAGTATATTTCATACGTATATTTTATAGGTCAATATGGTACTTTTGTAGTTCCTTTTGTACAAACAGGTGCATATTCCCGCAATGTTTACTGATTTATTGTAACTAACCAGTGCTTATACGTGCAGCATGCATATTAAGTTGAATTGTTTTTCTGTAAAACACAGTCTTTGCGTTTACGGAGCCTTTAATAGTACAAAATAAATATAGTAAACTCTTCACATGCTGCCATATTAAAACTGTTATACATTATTTGAGTAAAAACAAACTTACTTCAATGGCTGGTATGATACCTATTACTTGAGTTAATATCACATTTTTAAAATAACTACCCCCATTTGAAATGAGTGAGTAACACGTGAGTATTTACTTCCTTTTCAAAAGAATCTATTCGTTCCTTGAATATGGACTTTCAGTTATAAGTAGTCAAAGGTCAGAAACAACGATTTTTTCCAAACGTCTCGTATGTTATCTTTAGTTAATATTGCTTAACTTCCCATGCGTCAATAATCTTAATTAGAATTGTATAGAGAAGTATCAAAAAAAGGGCGGAAGAACTATTAGGGGAAGATAAGTTTGGGTTTATAAAAAATAGAGGAACGCGGGATGTCATTCTAACTTTACGGATAACAATAGAGAAAACTTAAAAATCTAAGGATGAGTTACAGAGATAGAAGAGTGATGCTTAGTTTGTATAAAAGAGCAACAAGCAGTTATAAAGCTAGAGCAGCAACTTGGAGAGGTAAATATTTGAAAGGAAGTCAGACAAGGATTCACACTGTCACCACTACTTTTTAATCTAAACATCGGAGACGCAATCAACATCATTAAATACAATACAACTGTAGTGATAGATATACAGGGGCAAATGATTAGTACGCGTAGAATAAAATAGAAGCGGAATTGACAAAAAATATTGTATGAAAATAAACAAAAGTAACATAAAAATAGTGGAATGCAAGTTAGGAAAGAGCGAATATAAAGACACACACTTTACGTATAACCAATAATTTTCGAGATAAAGGACTAAGAAAAATCAGGAATTACACCGTAGGTATTTGTTTCCACATCACCTACTGAGGTAAAATAAGAAAAAGGTTTTTCTTACGTGGTACGTTATGCCTCCATTTTGCTGATTATGATTTACTGTCATTGATTTTTTCTTCCACATTTGGGTTGTCCAAGGATACAAATATGAAGTCCGCAAAGACGAACAATAATAACTAATCAAATTATGACGTAACTTACCCATAAATGAGGCCTACAGTATCCTCAGTAAAAAAACGCGCTTTGCATTCCAGAGATCTCGAGTATTCACAATCCTAAATCTCGAAGAATATTGTATTATGTAAATTCTGTGTATGACCTTNTTTATTTAAAAAAAATAATGCACTAACACACTGAATTAACGCTAAAAATATTCAAAGATATAAAATGCCAAAAATTGTAAAATTATTTTGGTTTTAAAATAGAGGAATTACATTCATAGAAAGAGAGACCCTTATACAGACTTATCACCTCTTATGCCTGGTTTGTTAGGATTAGCAGTATAAAAAAATATAAACCCTCAAAGTGACGATTTTCATTGCATTTGCACATTCATGGAATATTTCCGATTATTGCCAGAAACTTCCTGTAACTCTCTTTTATCGACTTATTACTTCAAATGTGTCGCCAGTATCGATTGCCTACGGCATGCGTTCATAACAAACAAATTTATTTTTGGAGCAAAATAAATGTTGTACTTTGTTTTATGACAATAAAAGCAAAACTGGAATAAAAAGATGTCTTAAAAGAAATGACTGCGATGATTGCACGAAATTTTTGATAGCTTTGAACTGAAATCGAATTACAGCATTATGTCGTCATCTAACGGATTGAAGTAACTTAGTCCGTCTTCATTAGTTGAATAAATTAAATGAATATGATTCGTAAATCAAATTTTAATTCCATATATTTGTAATTTCTTTAATCGTTATAATAATAAGTTTATTTGATGTTTAAACCACAAAACTGCCCAAGCAAACTTATAAGATAAATTCATCGTTCCTTCTTCTGAAGATGGAAAGTAAGCGCATTAGACAGGCATTCATGTAATTGCTCAGCTGAAAATGGAGTCCACAATTTGCGTTCTCTCTTTTTTTGCTCTTGTTTACTGACACGCTAAATAAATTACTGAAGTTACTTCTATATCTGCCGCGTATTACAGATATAAATCAGATTAGTTATTATAAACTTAAACTTACCTTTAAACAAAGTCAGTATAATTATAAGTTCAGCAAGAAGGTAAAGACAAGGCGTTCACTGGAATGGATAAAGAATTTAATGTGGAGCCGATGGATTAAATCTATTATTGAATGTATATATATATCGACTGTTCTAATGGATGTGGATTCTTATATTCGAGCACACGGATCTTTTTTTTATATTGCAAGGGAAGAAAAGTAGGTAAAGAGCAAAAATAAGGATCGGAGACAAAAAATTAGAAGAAGTGGCTGATTTTAGGTATATAAGAAGTCAAATAATAAGTCAGGGCGGAAGGATTAGTAGAGATATAAAGCAGAGGATAGCGCAGGGTCGAATCGCCGTCAATATCGAGAAAGATTATTCTGAAAGACTGGTCAGACACGCACCTTCACTCCTTCCTATCCTGAGCTAATCTTTGCATATCCCTAAAACTAGAACAACTCACTCTGACTAGACCTTCATGAGAAGGTGTCCTACTAACCTATCTCGCCTATTTTTTATTGACTTCAATAGAGTCCTCTGTTGTCCTATTTTTTCTATTACCTCTTCATTTCTAACCTTCTCTATCCACGGTATCCTCATCATTTGCCTGTAACACCACATTTCGAACGCTTCTAACCTTTTATTTTCCACCATGCCCACCGTCCATGTTTCGCACCCATACAGCGTCACGCTCCAAACATACACCTTTAATAATCTTTTTCATATTTCTAAATTAATCGTTCGCGAGCATAGAAGTGACTCCTCTTTATTGAAGGCAACTTGACCCTGCGCTATTCTCTGCTTTATATCCCTACTAATCCTTCCGTCCTGACTTATCTGACTTCCTAGATATCTAAAATCAGCCACTTCTTCTAATGTTTCGTCTCCTATCTTTCGCTCTTTCTCTACTTTTTCTTTCCTTGTATACTGGTATTAAGTAAGTGTGAGTGAGTAAATTTTGTTACAGAAGTGCTTGCCCACCAGCACTAACAGCTGAAGAGAATAAAAACCCAAAAGTTTTTCTTGTGATGTATTAGATGATGATAACTAAAAGGATTTTTGGTGACTCGAACTAAAACTGTTAGTTGTTTATAACCGATGCGGCAGATAAAAGAGGTTTTTTTCTAATTTTCTTCCTTGTACACCGTATACCATTACATAATGTTAATGTTTACACTTGTACCATTTGCGAAATGCCCAACTCATACGTGACCCTGTTACTGGCGTATGCAAGAGCAAAGGTCGCCAAGGACAACCATGTTTACATGCAGCAATGTTACTTTCCACAAAGAATAAGTTAGCCTCTTTGCTTATATTTGAAAAAAGAGTCACTTTCAAAATACAATTTTAAAGTCTGTTAGTCAATAATTTACGAATGTACTATCACCTCTGCTACTTTTAATACTTTAAAAAATAATGGCATGGGTAGGTACCTAAACCTTTTTGTAAAGAAAATAACAGGGATTATCCTTCCGTTAAAATATGTGAAGGAATTCCAGACACATATTTCATAGGTTAAACGATTCCAAAAGAGTAATTCTTCTCCTCCTTTGAAGTTTTCAGATTAGCTAGCAAAACACGTATCACGGATTTTCCACTTTTTGATGTAGAGGTTACTGAAATTGTTATTTTGGCTTTTGTGTTCGATTTACATTACATTAACTGCGGTGATGGTTTTACATCAAAAAACATTTTTTTGCAATACGCTTCGAAATTAAAAATTTATTCTGCCTCGCGTAAAACCAAATGTCCCGGGTTCGATTCGCGGCGAGGGTGTGATAACAGCAACAAATTTTCCTCATCAAATTGAGGTAATTTATAGTTGGTATAAATGGAAAATGAATTTTTCACATTAATATTTGATATATTGACCGCTATTAAATATCAAAATGTTTCATATATATAATAATAACACCATAACCAACGCATAAGTTCATATGAAATAGTTGAAATTCTCTAAAATTGGAATTTAAACAACAACTACCTATTGACAAACCGTTCGCGTATGGATTCATATTGCTAGTTCCTGATTCATGCACCGCTCAAAACACTAGACAAATTAGACCAGCACACGTCTGCCATACGAAGCGGAATATTAAGGAAAACTAACTGAATGGTTAACATATGTACCTATACCTGTGTATACATTTATTTTAACCGAATTGGTAAGTAGCAGGTGTATATTATGAAGAAAGGAGGGGCTCCGCTGCAGACCGCTAAGCTGTCCTAGTGACCCACTTGGGTTTGCTCTGCTGCCCGACACTGCTTACCATCATCTTTAGTTAACCCACGACTCTTCACTGACAATTTCTTAATCGGTGGATCACCGCTACCCTCACCAACACCTCGGAACCAAGCTTCCGAAGAAGTTATAACGCGCTGTTCCGGCTTCACTATTACTACTTACTTACAAAACTACAAAACGCGTTGAATGACGAACTACAAAAAGTTGGTAGGTAACTCGGTTCTATCTGTCAGTGCGCCTCTACATCCTTTCACTCGTATCGTTCACCATTACCGGCAAAAAAAGCGGAAATTGAAGAAGAACCAAAAAACATACTAATAATACAAATTCGACCATCACCTGTTGTTCATTTCGCAACTCCTCGTGCAAGTTTTTGTAATCGAATGTTGGTGTAAACTTCGAGGTGTCGTATCAAATCGCAAAAATGTATAGAACCAACAGGCCGAATTTAAAAGAATAGACGCCAACAGTGAAATTTGTAAACAATGAGTACCATTAAATTTAGAATAAAGTGCTTTTTATTTGTGGGACTGCTTTCAATCAGTGATGTATTTACCAGCAAAACAGAACTCGGCAAAACCCGAAGAGGTAAGTTACCATTATTAAATTTATTATTTACATCAGCTGTACTTTTTTCATGTAAAATGAGCTAATTACATGCTAATGAATAAGTTATTATGCATTAATTGAAAGCAAATGGAGTTCCATTCTTATCTGATCTAGAGAAATTCAAAAGTAATTACATTTGAATTTGGTTGCTCGTATGCATGTGACTGCACCAATTTATTATGAAATATACCTACAGATAAAGTGAAAGAAGTTACTAATATGTTTATATATGTGAAAGAGATTTGATGCAAAATAGCGAAATACATTATATACACTATAATGCAATCTATATATATATAAAAATGAATGTTTGTCTGTATGTCCTTTATAGAATCGTAAACTATGCATTTGATCATGTGACGATCTTTAGAAAAGTTTTTGTGGATGAACTAAAAAAGGTTTCTGAGTTGGTACGACCAATTTTCGACAGGAAAAACAAGAAATATTGTGTATCTCACAGCACTTCAATAAATATCGAATTGAAACGAAAAACTGCAATGTCACAATTTTTCAGAAATGAACAAAATCAATAAAAAGACTCAAAATGAATTAACTATTTGTGTAACGTCTTTCCTTCAAATTTATTTTAGTTGGTGGCGTAGCAACGTGTGCAGGGTACAGCTAGTGTATAATAAAAGCATTACGTTACAACATGTATAGATAAAGTCAGAAATGTTTAAATTATAGTACGTATCACTTCCTCAAAACACTTTCATTTGTGGACTTGTAATAACCAAAACATTTTCGAAAATTGTATTGATTTTTGGTATCTCCATGTGCAGAGGTATCATCACGTATTTTCTTGGACCCTGATAAGATTATATCAAAACGAATTAAGAAACAGAGTAGAACAAGCCTTATAAGTATGTTGTTTATGTTCTCGCCTTGAGTTTACGCTAGCGTCTGTCTATCAAATCAGAATTCTAGAGTTAAGAGATATCAGACAATTGAGAGTCTGGTCTTATGGGATTATACCTCCTGTCATCGACACACACTTTAAGAAATTCTTGTGATTTCCCAGGTATGAGAATCCATGTCTAGGTTATAATGAGCCTTGTGGAGTCTACTACAACCACTATTACAAGTAATGACATCCCCGTCCATACGTTTTTAACTGTAGGGTACGATAATTTGGTTTTAACAAAATATACAATCGTAACTGCTAAACTTCAGATTTTACTGTTTCGAAACTAAATATAGGTACTGTTCTGAAACAAATATCTTATAGTATTTTAGTTGTAATTATTGTAAGTATTGTGACAGGGCATTTCAGAGATTATTTGAATAATTTTTATATATCATCATCATAGCATCGTCAGTCTTAAGACTGATTGGACACGCACCTCCACTCCTTCGTATCCTTCGCATTTCCCTAAAACTAGAATATTCCACATCCTTAACTATTTGCGAACACAGTAATCTAATCTAGGTCTATCTCTACTCCTTTCTAACTTCTGTTTTTACTTCTACTATGTCTCTAATTAAACCTTCATGCCTGAGAAGGTGTCCTACCAACCTATCTCGCTTATTTCTTATTGACTTCCATAACGCCCTTTGTTCTGCCACTCTTTCTAATGTCTTTCTAACCTTTTCTATTCACAGTATCCACCACCGTCCACGTTTCGCATCCGTACAGAGTCATACTGCAGAGATATACCTTTAGCAATCTTTTTCGAACCGTTTGCGAGCATAGAAAGGACTTATTTTCGTTAAAAGCAACTCGACCGTATACAATCCTTTGTTTTATATCTCTACTACTTATTTCATCAAAGTTAATTAAAAGTGAAATTAACTAATCGTAATTTTTTTAAAAAAATACTATTCAACTACTTTAATGTGTCTACTAGGTCATATTTTCACACATTTCCACATCGTCATCTTATGAATAAAGTTTGTTTATTCATAAAATGTACTCGCAAATGCGATTCTGAAAAGAAATTGAACTAACAACAATAACAATAGGTATAATTTGAAACTTGATCCACAATATAAAAATGTATCTAGTACAACAAATTAGAACAACCAGTAAAAGTAAAATTGCGTGCTTTTCATTCGTTTTTCTCTTCGTACTTAATTTTTAGATCATTCATTCGTAATAGCATAAGCCTACTTTCTACTTGAACAATTTATTTACACAAACCCCATTAATAAACGGTAGACAAACCATAATAATAATTATAAATGTCACTATTGTTTAAGAACAGACTCACTAAACAATTGGCAAGTTATTGTTTATTTTTCATCGTTAACATATTAAAGAAATCAATAACAATAGACCCCTTAAGTGCAGACTAATGCATATTTATAACTATTTTGTCTGCATTTTACTAACAAATACAATTTTCAGCAAAATTTTCTTCAAGTGATTGTGTTAGGAATGTTTAGAGAACAATCTTCAAAAATATATATATATATTTAATACAAACGAAATTTTGTTGGGTGTTGATAAAACCTTCCCCGGATGGACACAGTTGTTTTATATTTTAATGGTAGAGATCGGCCATATGTTAACCCAACCTAACCCAAGCCCTTGGTACATCTGCAAATCTTTCCCAGCAGAGCTTACCTCAATATTTGGTATATACACAAGATACACTAAATCCTCTCTCACTTCTTTTTTCTTTTTGGGTGTTTCATTCCCACCAGCCAGTAATGCCGGAAGGAAGGGCGGAAGGCCCTCTTCAGCCTGCTTTCAGGAATCGTGGGAATGGGTAGATAGTGGTTCGGGTGAGAAAGATGAGACGGGCGAAATGAAGACAGAAGAGAATGAAAGATTATCTGTGGAATATTACTGCCTCAGCATTTGCCTAAGTGATCCAAGGAAACCACAGAAAAACTTGGACCAAGGCAGACGGACCCGGAATCGAACCGGCGTCCNGAAAGATTATCTGTGGAATATTACTGCCTCAGCATTTGCCTAAGTGATCCAAGGAAACCACAGAAAAACTTGGACCAAGGCAGACGGACCCGAAATCGAACCGGCGTCCTCCCGAATGCTAAGCAATGGTCTAGACCTCTAGGCCATGCCGCTCGGTCCTCTCTCACTATAACCTAAACCCAAACAGTAATCTGGTTTAATAACCTTAAATTTCGTCAGCGGACGTTTTTGGCCACAGTCAATGTCAAATCCTATTTATGATTCTACGTCAACTGAATCACTGAATATTGGCATTTAAACAAGCTCAGTTCTCCAATTTTCACGATTTTCACAATAATCCCTTAGGAAACTAAAATATTATAAAAATCACATACTACGATTACATTTCGTACATCCACGTGTAAAACCGTTACTCATATCGTTCATTGTATAAGACAAAAATAATCACATTTTTGCTTATTAATTATTTCCTAAATTGTAATCGCTGTTTTATGACTTTTTAATGAGTACAGGTACTTATCATGACCTGGTAGGTAAGACAATGAGTTAAAATTTGGGCACGTGTATTCTGAAATGTTGCTCGATAACATAATATTTACCCTAATTTGTAAACAAAATAAACAAAGTATATTTCATACGTATATTTTATAGGTCAATATGGTACTTTTGTAGTTCCTTTTGTACAAACAGGTGCATATTCCCGCAATGTTTACTGATTTATTGTAACTAACCAGTGCTTATACGTGCAGCATGCATATTAAGTTGAATTGTTTTTCTGTAAAACACAGTCTTTGCGTTTACGGAGCCTTTAATAGTACAAAATAAATATAGTAAACTCTTCACATGCTGCCATATTAAAACTGTTATACATTATTTGAGTAAAAACAAACTTACTTCAATGGCTGGTATGATACCTATTACTTGAGTTAATATCACATTTTTAAAATAACTACCCCCATTTGAAATGAGTGAGTAACACGTGAGTATTTACTTCCTTTTCAAAAGAATCTATTCGTTCCTTGAATATGGACTTTCAGTTATAAGTAGTCAAAGGTCAGAAACAACGATTTTTTCCAAACGTCTCGTATGTTATCTTTAGTTAATATTGCTTAACTTCCCATGCGTCAATAATCTTAATTAGAATTGTATAGAGAAGTATCAAAAAAAGGGCGGAAGAACTATTAGGGGAAGATAAGTTTGGGTTTATAAAAAATAGAGGAACGCGGGATGTCATTCTAACTTTACGGATAACAATAGAGAAAACTTAAAAATCTAAGGATGAGTTACAGAGATAGAAGAGTGATGCTTAGTTTGTATAAAAGAGCAACAAGCAGTTATAAAGCTAGAGCAGCAACTTGGAGAGGTAAATATTTGAAAGGAAGTCAGACAAGGATTCACACTGTCACCACTACTTTTTAATCTAAACATCGGAGACGCAATCAACATCATTAAATACAATACAACTGTAGTGATAGATATACAGGGGCAAATGATTAGTACGCGTAGAATAAAATAGAAGCGGAATTGACAAAAAATATTGTATGAAAATAAACAAAAGTAACATAAAAATAGTGGAATGCAAGTTAGGAAAGAGCGAATATAAAGACACACACTTTACGTATAACCAATAATTTTCGAGATAAAGGACTAAGAAAAATCAGGAATTACACCGTAGGTATTTGTTTCCACATCACCTACTGAGGTAAAATAAGAAAAAGGTTTTTCTTACGTGGTACGTTATGCCTCCATTTTGCTGATTATGATTTACTGTCATTGATTTTTTCTTCCACATTTGGGTTGTCCAAGGATACAAATATGAAGTCCGCAAAGACGAACAATAATAACTAATCAAATTATGACGTAACTTACCCATAAATGAGGCCTACAGTATCCTCAGTAAAAAAACGCGCTTTGCATTCCAGAGATCTCGAGTATTCACAATCCTAAATCTCGAAGAATATTGTATTATGTAAATTCTGTGTATGACCTTTTTTATATAGATTTATTTAATTAATAATTAATATTTGCGATAAAGAAATTCTATAACAACTAATTTAACGTAAATCCGATATCATACGAAACGTTTGAAAGCAAGCTATGC